TTGGAAGAGTTTGAGATGGATAGGTGTTAGCTCTTCTCTAAATGTTTGATAGAATTTACCTGTGAAGCCATCTGGTCCTGGACTTTTGTTTGCTGGAAGATTTTAAATCACAGTTTCAATTTCACTACTTGAAACTGAAAGTAATTCTGTTCATATTTTCTGTTTCTTCCTGGTTTAGTCTTGGAAGGTTATACCTTCCTAAGAATTTGTCAGTTTCTTCCAGGTTGTCCATTTTACTGGCATAGAGTTGCTTGTAGTAGTCTCTGAGGATGCTTTGTATTTCTGCAGTGTCCTTTGTAACTTCTCCTTTTTCATTTCTAATTTTATTGATTTGAGTCCTCTATCTCTTTTTCTTGATCAGTCTGGCTAAAGGTTTATCAATTTTGTTTATCTTCTCAAAGAACCAGCTTTTCAGTTTTATTGATCTTTGCTGTTGTTTTCTTTGTTTCTATTTCATTTATTTCTGCTCTGATCTTTATGATTTCGTTCCTTCTGCTAACTTTGGGTTTTATTTGTTCTTCTTTCTCTAGTTCCTTTAGGTGTAAGGTTAGATTGTTTACTTGAGATTTTTCTTGTTTCTTAGGGTAGGCTTGTATTGCTATAAACTTCCCTCTTAGAACTGCTTTTGCTGCATCCCATAGGTTTTGGATCGTTGTGTTTTCATTGTCATTTGTCGCCAGCTGTTTTTTTATTTCCTGTTTGATTTCTCCAGTGATCTCTTGGTTATTTAGTAACGTGTTGTTTAGCCTCAATGTGTTTGTGTTTTTTACGTTTTTTTCCCTGTAATTCATTTCTAATCTTCATTGTTGTGGTCGGAAAAGATGCTTGGTATGATTTCAGTTTTCTTAAATTTACTGAGGCTTGATTTGTGACCCAAGATGTGATCTATCCTGGAGAATGTTCCATGTGCACTTGAGAAGAAAGTGTGATCTGCTGTTTTGGGGTAGAATGTCCTATAAATATCAGTTAAATCTGTCTGGTCTATTGTGTCATTTAAAGCTTGTGTTTCCCTGATAATTTTCTGTCTGGATGATCTGTCCATTGGTATAAGTGAGGTGTTAAAATCCCCCACTGTTACTGTCGATTTCCTCTTTTAGAGCTGTTAGCAGTTGCCTTACGTATTGAGGTGCTCCTATGTTGGGTGCGTATATATTTATAATTGTTATGTCTTCTTCTTGGATTGATCCCTTGATCATTATGTGGTGTCCTTCCTTGTCTCTTCTAACAGTCTTTATTTTAAAGTCTGTTTTATCTGTTATGAGTATTACTACTCCAGCTTTCTTTTGATTTCCATTTGCATGGAATATCTTTTTCCGTCCCCTCACTTTCAGTCTGAATGTGTCCCTGGGTCTGAAGTGGGTCTCTTGTAGACAGCATATATATGGGTCTTGTTTTTGTATCCATTCAGCAAGCCTGTGTCTTTTGGTTGGAGCATTTAATCCATTTACCTTTAAGGTACTTATCGATATGTATGTTCCTATTACCATTTTCTTAATTGTTTTGGGTTTGTTTTTGTAGGTCCTTTTCTTGTCTTGTGTTTCCCACTTAGAGCAGTTCCTTTAGCCCTTGTTGTAGAGCTGGTTGGTGGTGCTGAATTCTCTTAGCTTTTCCTTGTCTGTAAAGCTTTTGATTTCTCCCTTGAATCTGAATGAGATCCTTGCCGGGCAGAGTGATCTTGGTTGTAGGTTCTTCCCTTTCATCACTTTAAATATATCCTGCCACTCCCTTCTGGTTGCAGAGTTTCAAAAAAAAAATCAGCTATTAACAGCTGAGAAATCAGCTGTTAACCTTATGGGAGTTCCCTTGTATTATATTTGTTGTTTTTCCCTTGTTGCTTTCAATAATTTTTCTTTGTCTTTAATTTTTGCCAATTTGATTACTGTGTGTCTCAGCGTGTTTCTCCTTGGGTTTATCCTGTATGGGACTCTCTGTGCTTCCTGGACTTGGGTGGCTATTTCCTTTCCCATGTTAGGGAAGTTTTCAACTATAATCTCTTCAAATATTTTCTCAGGTCCTTTCTCTCTCTCTTCTCCTTCTGGGACCCTATAATGCGAATGTTGTTGCGTTTAATGTTGTCCCAGAGGTCTCTTAGGCTGTCTTCATCTCTTTTCATTCGTTTTTCTTTATTCTGTTCCGCAGCAGTGAATTCCACCATTCTGTCTTCCAGTTCACTTATCTGTTCTTCTGCCTCAGTTATTCTGCTATTGATTCCTTCTAGTGTAGTTTTCATTTCAGTTATTGTGTTGTTCATCTCTGTTTGTTTGTTCTTTAATTCTTCCAGGTCTTTGTTAAACATTTCTTGCATCTTCTCATCTTTGCCTCATTCTTTTTCCGAGGTCCTAGATCATCTTCACTATCATTATTCTGAATTCTTTTTCTGGAAGGTTGCCCATCTCCACTTCATTTGGTTGTTTTTCTGGGGTTTTATCTTGTTCCTTCATCTGGTACATAGCCCTCTGCCTTTTCATCTTGTCTGTCTTTCTGTGAATGTGGTTTTTGTTCACAGGCTGCAGGATTGTAGTTCTTCTTGCTTCTGCTGTCTGCCCTCTGGTGGATGAAGCTATATGAGAGGCTTGTGCAAGTTTCCTGATGGGAGAGACTGGTGGTGGGTAGAGCTGGCTGTTGCTTTGGTCGGCAGAACTCATTAAAACTTTAGTCCACTTGTCTGCTGATGGGTGGGGCTGGGTTCCCTCCCTGTTGGTTGTTTGGCCTGAGGCGACCCAACACTGGAGCCTACCCGGGCTCTTTGGTGGCGCTAGTGGCGGACTCTGGGAGGGCTCACGCCAAGGAGGACTTCCCAGAACTTCTGCTGCCAGTGTCCTTGTCCTCACAGTGACACACAGCCACCCCCCGCCTCTGCAGGAGAACCTCTAACACTAGCAGGTAGGTCTCGGTTCAGTCTCCTGTGGGGTCACTGCTCCTTCCCCTGGGTTCCGATGCTCACACTACTTTGTGTGTGCCCTCCAGGAGTGGAGTCTGTTTCCCCCAGTCCTGTCAAAGTCCTGCAATCGAATCCCGCTAGGTTTCAAAGTCTGATTCTCTAGGAATTCCTCCTCCCGTTGCCGGACCCCAGGTTGGGAAGCCTGACGTGGGGCTCAGAACCTTCACTCCAGTGGGTGGACTTCTGTGGTATAAGTGTTCTCCAGTTTGTGAGTCACCCACCCAGCAGTTATGGGATTTGATTTTATTGTGATTGCGCCCCTCCTGCCGTCTCACTGTGGCTTCTCCTTTGTCTTTGGATGTGCGGTATCTTTTTTTGGTGAGTTCCAGTGTCTTCCTGTTGATGACCGTCCAGCAGCTAGTTGTGATTCTGGTGTCCTTGCAAGAGGGAGTGAGAGCACGTCCTTCTACTCCGCCATCTTGAACCAATCTCTGCGGTGGCTTCTCCTCTTGTTTTGACGCCTTTTATTTCTTTTTATTGCCTAATTGCCCTGGCTAGAACTTCGAGTGCAGTGCTGAATACAGGTGGCGAAAGGGGCTTCCTTTCTTTGTTTTGGGTCTTAGAGGAAAAGCTTTCAGTCTGTCACCACTGAATATGATGTTTGCTGTGCTCTCGTCATAGGTGCCCTTCACTGGTCTGAGGAAGTTGCCTCTATTCCTAGTTTATTAAGTGTTTTTATCAAGAAAATGTGTTGAATTTTGTCAAATGATTTTTCAGTATCAGTTGAGATGACTGGTTTCTGTCCTTCATTCTTTTAATGTGGTGTATATTACACTGAAGGGTTTTCATATGTTGAACCATTCTTGCGTTCTGGGAATGAATCCCACTTGGTCATAGTGTATAATTTTCTTCTAACATGCTGCTGAATTCAGTTTGTTAGTATTTTGCGGAGAATTTTTGCGTCGGTGTTCTTAAGGGATGTTGGTCTGTAATTTTCTTTTCTTGTGATGTCTTTGGTGTCAGGGCAGTGCTGGCCTCACAGACTGGATTTGGTAGAAAGTGCTCCCTTTAGTTTTTTGGGGAGACTTTGAGAAGGATTGGTAGTGTTAATTCTTGAAATGTTTGGTAGAATTCCAGTGAAGCCATCTGGTTTGGGCTTTTCTTTATTGGGAGGTGGGTCTGACTGTTGAAGACGAGGCAGCATGGATGAAGCCACCTCCAGTGTCAGCCAAAGTCACACGGGCAGAGAAGGTGAAGCCGAGACTGGAGACTGTGTTTCTGTGGGGGAGAGCTGTGTCAGGCAGACGGGCCTCCTTCCTTACCCAGCTCCCCACTCCCTGGTGGGAAAGAAGGGTCCAGACTTATATCCTGGGCTGGAGCCTACAGCCCTTTCCCCAGCCCTGTCTCCGCATCCTGCGCAGCCCGCTCCCTTCCGTGCAGGCAGCAGAGGGTGTGGGGTGCAGGCAGTTGTGGCCCCTGCTGGGTGTGAGGTGGCCATGTGGACGTGGCAGCTGTGCCTGTCCCACCTCCCTGCTGGTGCCGCCCTGCTCGCCTCAGGGGCAGGTCTGGAAAAGGCCATGGCAGAGGGGCTGCAGCTGCCCATTCAGCCTCCTCGGGGGCGTCTGCCTGGGAGCTTGTTTGGGCCCCTTGGGGCTCCCTTGGGGAGTGTCCGTGTGTGCACCTCCTGATTTCATGGCCCTCCTGGATAGGATCCCCAGGGGTTGGAGAATTGAACGCACTCCCAGTAACTTGTGGGTCAAAGATAAAATCATAAAGGAAAGACGATAAAAATACTACGTAGCAAAATGTGTAGAGTGTGGCTGCGGTGGATTTTACAGGGAGGCGTACAGCCTTGTCAAGATGCACTAGAGAAGGAGGGAGGTTGAGGGTCTGCGGGTGAAGCTTCTATCCTAGGACAGAGGATAAGGAAACCACAGGAAGCGGTCACACGAGCAGAGATTACGGAGCTGGATGGAGATGGAAGGCCCGTGGCCACCTGGACGTCAGGACACAGCACGGGGAGGTGGGCAGGGCAGCAGGGCTCCTCACGTTCGGCCAGCAGGGCCCCTCACGTTCGGCCTGCAGGACACGGGGCTTCCCTCACCCTCTGTCTCCCCAGGACCTGTTTGTTAAGTACGCCTGGAATAACTTCCTGCACTTCCAAGTGGAGCTGTGCATAGCCGCCATCCTGTCCCACTCTGCCCGGGAGGACAGGGCCGTGGCCAGCGGACCTGAGGGTGGGATGGAGCCTCCGCCCTCCAGCGGGGACCCAGAGTCCCCCCAGCCTGCCGCCAGCCGCCCTGAGAGCACGATGGTGACCCACGTAGGTCCAGGCAGCGTCACGTGTGTAGCTATGTCCTGCATGTCCTGTGTGTCACTGCGTGTCCTGTGCATCCTGTGTATTGCTGCGTGTGCTGAACGCCACCCAGACCATGTGGACATTCACGTTGCTTTGGGCCCTCGTGTGCTTTCTCCTCTAATCCTCCCGTGACACGGGTGAGCTGCTCTCCTTTCACCCGTGAGACGGGAAATCCCAAAGAAGGTGTCCATGTTTGCCAGGGCCCCAGAGCCGGTGGAGTGGAGGGCCCCGTTGCTGCCCCCGGGTCGGCTCCTCCAGGCCGTGAGGGCAAGCAGCCCCGTCATGGTTTGAATGCCGTGCCGGGGAGGTGCCAGGGGAGGGGTGAACATGTCCAGTTCTCACAAGAAGACTTCCTGGGATTTGGAGCCTCTGGAAAGTATGGATGCTCTGCATGGCCCGCCTCTTCCCTGACGCTTTCCCGCTCACCCGAGCACACTGTGTGGAGACCCGCTGGGGCCGCCCTTCCCGGGGCCGCGCGCGGGGCTGCAGGGAGTCGGCCTTAGTGGGTGTTCGCTAAGGAAGCAAGAAGGAAAGCAGCACGTGGGTGGAGCAGGTGGCACAGGCGGTCCCCAAGCCGAGGAGCCCACCTGTGCGCGCAGGGCCCTGGGGTCGGCTCTGCCCCCCACCCCCGGGTGGCTGCAAGGCTCAGACAGGAGGGGCTTGGCAACGGGTCCCCTGACCGGAGACCTGGGAGAGGGTCGAGAAGGGCCGCTCTTGCAGGCCTGAACCGGAACACAGCCAAGGGGGTAAATAGCCAGGAGCGGGCGGTTTCAGTGATGAGAGCCACAGGGGGTGGGTGTGTGCAGCGGCCATGCAGGCCAGAAAGGGACCCTCACCCAGAGAGGCCACACGTGGGGTGGGTGTGCAATTTGGGGCCCGGAGCAAACATTCCAGTTACGGGAAGCTGCCTGTGTGAGGGCCTGGAAGCCAGTGAGCCCTGGGGCCGCCGGCCTCTTCCTCCTGGATGGAGAAGGCAGGAGAGTGGCCCGAGGAGGAGGACACGACCGCCGGGAGGCTGAGGGGACGAGAGTGTCCTGATTCGACCCCCGTCGCCATGTGGACGAGCCTGAGCAGAGCCTACCTGGGCGTTGGACGGGGACCGCAGGGCTGGGCTATGATGCTGTCGCTGCCCACAGTGAACTTGGGCCTGATGTGTGCGCCTGCTGCCTGCTAAGCCCACTCAGTCCAGGGCTGGGTGGAGGGGAGCGTGCAGCCCTGCTGGCCCTGACCCGTGCTGCCTGTCTGCCAGCTGTTCCAGAAGTGTTGCCTGGTCCAGAGGATCCTGGAGGCCTGGGAAGCCAATGACCACACACAGTAAGGACCACTGGGGCTCTGCGTGGGGCTCCAGGGCTGCCATGGAGGGTTTGTTTTCAAGGAAGGGTCCCACCGCTGTGGAAGCAGCTGCAGTGCTGCTGGCGGGGCCGGGGCGTGGGGCAGGGTAACGCGGCCTGCACAGCCCGGCCCCCGGCTCCATGGGCCCCTCACCCTCTTCCTCCCTTGCCCGTCCATCAGCAGAGACCCCAGTCCTGTGCCTGCAGTGTGTCCCGAATCCTCCCACGTCCCCATCCCAGCCTCCAGCCACTTCTCTTACTGAAGCCTCAAGCCCTTGAAAGAGCATCCGGGCCCCTTCCTGCTTCCTTCTTGCCCCGTCTGCCCTCTCGTTGCATGATAAGCTGGGATCTTTCTGAAACCAGCAGGTGGTGTCACCTCCTGCTTGGAAGTCTTGACTGCCCAGGTCCCTGGTGTGGCTGCAGGGTCCAGTGGGCAGCCCTGGCCCCCCTGTGCTCCTACTCTGCCCCGCCAGGGGCTGCTCTGGGCAGGTGGGGAGAGCTCTGCGACCGCATAGTTCATCCCTTCTGTCCTGCTGTTACTGAACCCACAAATCTGCGTCCGCTCCCAAGTAGCAGCGAGCAAGATGGGGCCGCTCCGCCCTCCGCTCCGCCCTCCGCTAGGCCCAGGGAGGCCTGTGCTGAGTCCGCCCCTGTATATGTTTTGTGTGTTGGTGCACAGGTGTGTGCCTGTGTGAGGGGAGGGCTCACTGCTGTCACCGAGGGGTCCTTGGGCCATGGTAAGCCGTGGATGGGCGTGTGAGCCTGGATGCCTGCAGGCTGCGGCCTCAGCGCGGTTCTCCCGCGACCTGGACAGCCGCTCACAGGCCCCCACCCTCAGCCCGGCTTCGCGTCTGGGCCAGTTCCGCCCAGTCTCTCCTGACCTCTGCTGGGTGGGCCCACCGATTGGGGACCACCTTCGCTTCCTCTCTGGTTGTCGTCAGGCTCTGAAGAGAGAGAATACTGTTGAAAGCAAGCGCTGTCCACTCTGGGACCCAAGGGCTGTGTTTCTGTAACGGATGCGCCAGAGTCTCACATCTGACGCCCTTCCTGCTGCTTCGGGGATCTGAAGACTTGCTGCTCTGTTGGGTCCTGTGTGGGAGAGATGAGAAGTGGGGGGAGAGCCACTTGTTTGCGGCCGTGTGGGACGTGCAGGTGGACAGGAGCCAGCACACTGCCCCTGCTGCTCTGCCCACTCCCGGGTCCTGGGTCCACCCTCGGTCTTCTCTGGGGGCTCGGGACGCGCTTGGTCAATACTCACAGCCCCAGCCGGGTGCGGGTCTGGTGGTCTGCGCAGAGTGGGAGTGGCGAATGCCCACCTCACTTGTAGGCAGGGAGTGGTGGAGTGACGCGGGTGCGGAGCAGGTGCTCCAAAAGTAAGCAGCCTGCAGGTGAGGCCGCGAGACGGCTTCGCAGGGTGGTGGGGCCCGCGGGGAGGAGGCCGCAGAGCCGAGGCCGGGCCGGCTGGATGCACTGCGGACGAGGGCCGGCGGCAGCCCTGACGCCACTCTCTCTTTCAGGGCAGCGGGTGGCATGAGGCGCGGGAACATGGGCCATCTCACCCGGATCGCCAACGCAGTGGTGCAGAGCCTGGAGGGGGGCCCTGTGCAGACCCAGGTCAGCGAGGTCCTCCGAGGTGAGCGCCTCCAGGCCCAGGTGTCGCTGCCCGAGGTGCCCCGCCCCTGCCCTTGGCCCCTCGGCGGACGGGACCAGCACTGGTGCCAGACACTTGGCCCCCCTTTGCCACAGGGGCTGTCCTGTCAGCTGCGCCTGGGCCTGGGCGGCAGCCTCCTCTGTGCCCTGGGCTGCCCGCGCCGGCCCGAACGCCTGCTCTCCTGCGGAGCGGCCGCAGGGCCTGAGCAGAGGCCACCCTGGCCAGGCCTGCTCTCCCTCATACCCCACGGGCCTCCTCGTCGCAATCCAGGGCCCCGAGCGGGGGGCCGCCGCCCATGCCCCTTCCCAGCCCTCGCACATTCTGGGCGCCCAGTCTGCAGCTCCCAGGCACTGGGCTTTCTGGCCTGAGCTGGGGAGAGCCCGAGGGTTCTCGGTTCAGATGGGAGAAGGCGGGCAGCTTAGAAGGGCCTGTGTGGCCTCTTGGGGAGGAGGACGCTGGGCCAGCCCGAGCAGCACATGCTAGGGTGACAGCAGGGGCGTGCGCTCGGGGCGCCCTGAGGGTGATGGACAGTGACAGCCACAGAGGCTGGGACCCTGAGGGCACTTGGGGGCTCGTACTGGTTTCACAGCCAAGAGTTTGTCCCCCGCGCTGTGTGGGGGCCTGAGGACAGGGCTGGCCAGGGGGCAGGGGGACGCGTGTGCTCAGTGAACAGCGAGCGGGAGTGAGCACCGTCTGAGCGCCGCGTGTGCTGTCGGGGTGGGGTGATCCCCATCCCTTCTGGGGGCCGTGGTGCCCTGAGCTCGGGGCAGGCAGGGGAGGTGCTGAGTTTGTCCCTGTCCTGGGCTGGGGAAGCTGCCCCGCAGACGTCCAGTTGGTCGTGCGGTGGGCGTGGCCTCCATGGCCCCCCGCCCCCGTGCCCACGCCTAGGTGCCCCCATGGTGACCTTGGCCATGGCCCCCTGTGTTCCCGGGGCAGCTGTGAGCCAGGAGGCTGGGGGGGGGGTGCGGGGCGGGGCCCTCTGACACAAGCGGGCTGCTCTCAGTCCGGCCCTCAGCCCGTCAGCACCTGTGACGAGCGTGTGCACCCAGGAGGGCCCGGTGTGGGGTTGGGGACGAGCGTGAAGCTCTCTCTTTCTGGACTGTGAACGTCTCTGGGCTCCGACCTCCCCGGAAAGACAGACACACCCAGGCCTGCTGGGTTGGGCCTGTAAGGCCAAGAGGGACGTGACCGTGCCCCGTGGTTCCTGTGTCCCCGGGGCTCCCCGGTTGGCCTGTGAGCCCTCACGGGACCAGGATGCAGCCGCTGGCTCCATCCCAAGGGCTCACCGGGCAGCCTTCGCCGCAGGGCTCCCCTCGGATTGCCGCGGGCGCTGGGAGAGCTTTGTGGAGGAGACGCTGACGGAGGCCAACCGCAGGAACGCGGTGGACCTGGTGAGCAGGCCCCAGGCCGGCCGAGAGTGGGGGGCCCTTGTGGCCCTCTGGGCAGAGCGCTGTCCCCACCCCCGGTCCCTGCCCGACCTGGGCTTGCGGGACTCCTGGTGCCCGAGGCCCGGCGCGCCCTGCACGGGAGGGTGGGTCGGCACGGCCCCGGATGCCGTCTCATGCCCACCCACCCTGGCCGTTGCAGGTTAGCACCCACCATCTTCACCCCTCGAGTGAGGACGAGGACATGGAGGGCGTTTTCCCTAATGAGCTGTCCCTTCAGCAGGTGCGTGAGGCCAGGCCCCTCATCCCCACACTCTCGGCAGCTCTTAGGCCTCAGGAGTGTCGTGCACGTGTCACCAGAGCCTCGGGCAGGGCCGGGGAGGTGCTCATCCCCCCCAGCTTCTGCAGGGGGTGCAGCCCCACCCTCCTCTACTGAGGGGGCGCCCCCAGGGTCACTTGACATTGATGAGACCCTTGGGGACGTGGTGGGCGAATGGAAAGCCAGAGTCACAGGCTGTTTGGACGTGGCTGCCTGTGGGTGCCCAGCCGAGAGGGCAGGACCTGGGAGAAGCCCAGGGGGTTTCCTGAGAGCGGCCGTGGTCCTGTTGCCCAGGCTTTCTCCGAGTACCAGGTCCAGCAGATGACGGCCACCTTCGTGGACCAGTTTGGCTTCAGTGACGAGGAGTTTGCTGAGCAGGACGACAGCGTCAAGTGAGCCCAGTGGGACGTGCCCACCTGCCCCACCCTCGTGCCTTTGGGAGGGAGCCGGGCTCTGCTCGGTGTGACCAGGTCCCTGGCCTGTGGCTCAGCCCTGCCTGGCCTTCGGGGCCATCACACCACTTGCTCAGCTGGAAGCCACGTGTGACCCAACGGCCTGGAGACGCCCTCTGGGGAGGCAGAGCAGCCGGGTGGGAGTCACCCCTAGCCGCCCATCCAGAGGTGGGAGGGGAGCCCGTGCACCCACCCAGGCTCGGCCTGCAGCCCTGGCCCCCCGCCCCTGCCTTTGCCTCCCTCGGTGGGCTGCCTCCCCATTCTCTCCCTCTTGGGGGGACTTGACGGCGTCCCTGTTGTCCTCGCAGCGCCCCGTTTGACAGGATCGCGGAGATCAACTTCAGCGTTGACGCTGACGAGGACAGCGTGAGTCCCATGGATGCCCCTTGGGGGTGGCCGGGCGTGTGGGGGCCATGTGGCCCACGTGTGCTCTCCTGCAGCCCGGTGCCGCTCTGTTTGAGGCCTGCTGCAGTGACCACATCCAGCCCTTCGACGAGGACGACGACCTCTGGGAGGACGAGGAGACACACTGTGTGGCCCGAGTGACCAGAGCCAGGTGGGCCTGGGCACCACACGGGCACCAGCCCTGCCTCAGCCGTGCCGTGGCACCCCAGGCAGGCGGGAAGGGCTGCTCTGACCGTGGGTCTCCCCCCAGGTTCGGGGGCCCTCACACTTCGGAGAGCTGCCGCAAGGACGGCCTGGAGTGCCGAGGCCGGGGCGGAGAAGAGAGCTCGGAAGCAGACGGGGATGGGGCTCGGGCGGGCGCCCCTCGGGCTGCCGTCCAGAAGGACGGTCCTCGTGCTGGGGGTGGCTCAGAAGGTAGATGATGGGGCCATGGGGTGCAGGCCGGGCAAGGGGCTGGGGCGGGAACATGGGGGACAGAGGATTTGGTGCCCCGGCCTGTGGGCGTGTGTGTGTGTGTGCGCGCGCGTGTGTGTGTGTGTGTCTGTGTGTGTGCGTGTGTGCGTCTCTCTGTGTGTGTGTGTGTGTGTGTGTCTGTGTGTGTCTGGGCTGCTGTGGGCCTGATGCCCACTGACCCCCCGGCACACGCTTTCAAACACGCTCCTGTGCCCGTGGTCTCCCGCCCCGTCACAGCTAGAGGCGGGTGTCCCCCAGTACCGTGGGGGAAGGCACACCCACACTACTGCTGTGGGGCCTCCACCACCGGTCACGTGCTGGTCAAGGGGCCTGGACACCACGTCTCCCCCAGCAGGCGCCCCGTGGACGGTGTCTGATGAGCCGGTGAATTCCACGGCCTCGGGCCTGGCCCCAGCAGTGGTGATGGACGTGGGTTCCAGTGTGTGGGCGGCCAGCGTGCCCAGCGCCTCGGCTGCGGAGGAGAGAGGCTGGGCCAAGTTTGCCAACTTCCAGCCTTTCTGCTGGTGAGGCGGGGCCGGGGCGGGGGGTGGGGGGCGGCCCCAGCTGCCTGGGGCCCTGGTCTCCTGGGCGTGGGCTCAGAGTTGGCCTCGTCTGCAGCTCTGAGTCGGGGCCCAGGTGCAGCTCCCCCGTGGACAGAGGTCACAGCGATGCCCAGGGTGGCCTGAACCGGGGCCCAGAGAGAACCCGTGAGTAGGGGCGGCCCCAGGGGCAGGGGGGTGGGAGGGGGAGGCCAAGACCTCGGGGCCGCCGTATTGCCCTGGTGATGTTGGAGTTTGCGCCACGTGCGGGGACTGGAGTGGGTGTGTGGAGGGGTCAGGACCCCGGCTCCAGGCACAGGACGGCCGGCGAGGCCCTCGGGCTGGCCTCAGCGCACAGGTCCGACCAGCCCACACCCATCTGTGTCGCCAGGACCCCAGGCAGAGCCTGTCTCCCCAGGCCTGGCCGCCTTCTAGGTGTGGATCACACGTGTGCGCCGCACCACCCCAGTGCTTGTCCTGGGAGCTGTTCAGGGCCCTGGCCCTGAGCTCCCTGTCAGATGGGCTTGGAAGCCCCCCCAGGGTATCAGGGCCACACAGGGAGGGACTTGGAAGCCAGCCACAAGGCTGAGTGGTGGCCCTCCCTGCAGGGAGGACCGTTCCTCCTGAAGTTCCTGTGAATTCACAGACGCACGTATGCACGTCACACGCACGCGGCAGGGGGTGTGGGGGACAGGTCTGTCGCCAGTTGCAGGCTGAAGTTCCCGCGTGCGCCGTACTGGTCGCTCTGTCCTCACCTGGTGTCGCCGGCTCCCTGTGTTGCAGCTGGCCCGGCCACTCTGGGTGCCTGGAACGCATGTGTTGCCAGGAAGGCACCCCTGGTGGCCTCCAGCAGCCGAGAGGACAAGCAGAAGGTGGCTTTGGCCTCGGAGGCTATGAGGATGGGTCCCGGTCGGGAGGCCCACCCGCTGCCAGTGTTAGTCCCCAGGTGAGCAGGACAGGCTGGGTGGCGGGCCCCCGGGTGCACACGGAGGTCTGGCTGTCCCCAGCACTGCGCTGGCCCGGGGGCAGGCTGACCCTCCTGTCCTGATGGCCCCGTGACTCCTTGGAGGCCAGCTTTGGACAGGAGGGTCACCGCTTCGTCCAGGTGGAAGCTGGGGTGGCTGTTGAGACAGCACGGGGCCAGCCCGCCTCAGGCCGCGTCGGAGAGAATGGCCAGGCTTTTGGGGTTCCGGGTGGGCTCTGGAGCTGCCGCTCTCCTGGGGCGGGTGCCTAGTCCCAGACTTGCGCCCACCTCAGCTGGGCGCCTCGGGCACATGTGTCCATCACGCTGGACCGGTAGGACGGGGGTGTTTTGGGACTTTGCTTGGGGCCCTGACCTGGGTTGTCCTCCCTGCAGGCTTGGCCCGTGCACGCCACCCCTGCGCCCAGGGGGCAGGTCCGGGCCTCTGGGGTCGGCTGGTGGACACATGCCTCCTGGTTGGGCGGGTGGGCAGCGTGAGGAACCGCGTGCGGTGAAGACTGAACGGGGCAGGAGGGCTGGTGGGACGTGAGGGAGAAGGTGGTGCTGGGGTCAAGGCCTGAAGGGGCTGGGGGGGGTGCGGGGGGCCAGGCCAGACCCCCACGAGGGGACGAGGAGCAGAGACTGACTGTGCTGCTCCCGTGAGGTCCCCACCCAGTGACCCTGGAGCGTCCCTGCTGACGCTGGGGGTCCGGTCTAGCTCCCAGGACCCCAGGGCGGAGCAGGGTCAAGCTGCGCAGTGCGTGTCGGGGGAGGGGCGGTTCACGCCGCCGCCGCCGCAGGGTGGGGCGAGCTTGAGGCCTGGGCCCTGGGAGAACCTCAGCGCTGGGGTAAAGGTGTACACGCGGCTCCCAGACGGTTTGATTCCTTCTTGAAGCTTAGAGTCATCGCAGTTCTTAAAACCTTTTCTGCTTCCTAACTCCCCGTTCCCCCAAAACCCACCCGGCTCTGAGAAGCAATTGTACCGAAAGCAAAGCCTTCTGGTCCTCAGGGCGGTCTTCACGAGCCTCGGGCCATTGTGGGGGGACACGCGGGGCTTGTCTCCAGGCTCTGCCCTCACTGGCTCGTGAGGGTCAGTGCCGGGCTGGAGGAGACAGCACTGTAGGCGCTGGGCAGGTGTGGGCTGGTGGGGGGACCGTGGGCTTGCTCTCTGGGCCCCCAGACCAGAGCTGAGTGCCAGGGCTGGGTGTCCCGAGGCCGCCTGCCTCCTGCACTCAGCCTTTCTAGGTGTGGGCGGCGGGAGTGTTGTGGACAGACGTGGCCTGAAAGGTGTTCCAGGGAAGGGCCCTGGGCCTGTGTGGTCCACAGAGTGGTGAGGGTTGGTGGGAGCACCTAAGGGGCATGTTCCAGACCGGGGTGGGGGTGTGGCGAGGGCCGTCTGGAGGGGGCCGAGGGGGACGGGATGCCCGGGATGAGTGCTGCTGGGCAGGAGGCTCGACACTTTGGTGGACTGACAGTCTCTGGCGTGTTTGGAACTTGGGGTGGCAGAGGGGCCTGGGCCACCTTGCAGGGTGGAGCCCCAGCGGGGGTGGTCCAGTAACCGGAGCCTGTCTGCCACGCAGGGCTGAGTGCGCCACCAGCACACCTCCAGACCTGGCCTCCCTTGCGCCTGCGGAAGTGACCTCTGCCCCAGTCGGGGCCGTCCTCCCCGAGGCTGCCATGGCGGCCACCACAGTACCGGGCAACGCCGGCCCCGCCCCGGCCACCCCAGCAGTCTCTCCTGTGCTGGCCGTGGCCGTCACCCCTGCAGCCCCAGCTGTCTCCACAAAGGACAGGTGAGCAGGTCGGACCAGGGGAGGGGCTGGGTGGGGACCCTTGCCCTGAGCGACTCCTACCCACCCCCGCAGGCAGACTGACGGGCCTCCGCCCGCGGGAGCCGCCTTAAATGGCCTCGTGTGATGCTGCCGCCGCCCAGCCTTGGCGCCCCAACCAAGAAAACTACCTGGTGACGCAGTTTGTCTTTTTTAATTTAACTTAATTTAATTTTAAAATAAATGCTGCATTGGTAAAGCTGGCAGTTGGAACCAGTCAGACGGCCCAGCCTGCATTTCTCCTGCCTGACTCCGGGTGGGCCTTGAGGGTCCAGCCCCACACACAGCAATAAGGCCTCAGACAGGGGCTCTGCCTGCGCCACAGGCTCTGAGCCTGTTTTTATCCATTTTTTAACAAACGCCGCGAGAGCCACGTGTTTGCACTTTTTAATCTAGCGCAGGAGAGGGTCTCCGAGGCTCTGGGTGTCGACAAATGTGGGTCTGGAACTGGGCTGGCCAGACGGGGTTTTAGCTGCCCGGTGGCCCTGGGAGCTGGCCTTGAGCCATGCTGCAAACTTGACTGCCTTAAAAAAATCCTTGGAGACATCGCAGCCATCTGAGGGTTACTAAGGGCGAGAGATGTGTCCTAGGTGTGGCCCTCTGAGCCCCAGCAGAAGAGAGGCTGGGGGGGGGGTCGGGGGGGGTGGCGGGGGGGGGGGGGCGCCTGGCAGGAGCTGGCCACGGGCGTGCAGGACGGGGTGCGGAGGGCCCAGCAGTGCTACCCTGCACCTGCCGGGGAGGGCGGGGTATCTCATGTTACTGTTCTGATGATCTGACAGGGCACCCAGACCCCACGACTCCCAATAAAAGTTGTTATTCTCACCGACAGACCCGCGTATTGTTACGCTGTGGGCCCTGGAGCCCCAACCTGGCTGGCAGCGGGGGTCGTCTGCTGCTCCCGGGCCCATCTTTGAGTCAACTCCTGAGTAAAGACTGAGCTCTTCTTTCTTTGTGAAACAAACAAGCTCTGCCTGGAGGTTGAGTCTCGGGCAGGGACCCCAGACCCACAGGCTCCTGGGCAACAGGAATGTCAGCCTGACGGTTGTCCGTGGGCCCAGGGAGGACCTGGGTGAGCCCCGCCTTAGCTCCCACTGATGGGTGCCGCTGCCGGCCGGGCCCCCCGCACCACCAGCCCCCCTGACCAGGAGCTGTGGCCGCCACCCTGACCACTCTGGGATGTTCTCCCGGCCTCCGTGGTGCCACATTCCGCCCCACACACCCCACCTGCTGCCCACCCGGCCCTGCCCTACCCCTGGTTGGCACACGTTGCTCGTAAGGCCCTAGCCTGGGTGGGACTCAACGCCTGAATGGGAGAGTGACCTGCATTACAGCCAAGACTGGGGGGTGGGGGGGTGAGGACGGTCAGGACCCCAGGGGAGAGGCAGAGACAGGCGTTTGGAGCCAAGTGCCCATAACGGAGGCCGTCGGGTCCCTGTGCCCCACCTCCCCATACATAAGCCCCCCCAAGTCAAGTCCTGAAGCACCCGTGCTCTCCAGAGAGCCCACCCTCTTTGGTGTCTCCCCCTCCTCAGGCCCCATTCCCACTCCTCCATCCATCCCATCCCATCCCATTGACTGACTCTCATCTGACCAGGGAGAGGCCAGCAAGTCTGGACTCCGGACAGCTTCCTGGGGGCCACCTCCCCTGTACCCCCTTCTTCACAACACACACACCTCTAGGTGGCGCCTTCCGCGCCAGCCCCAGGATCGCCTCTGAGGCCTGGAGGGATGGGGTGGCCGGGCACCAAGCAAAAGCCTGGTGACGCTGGCCCCCGCCGCCCACCCCGGCCCCAGGACACGGAGGAGACGCAGGCGCGCGGCGTGTCATTAGCGCTCTTTATAGACTCTGGTTCTAGGAACAGGCTGTCTGCGGCTGGCCGGCCGGGGCCAGCACGCTGACAGGGCGGGAGGGGGCATATTTACAGGCCCACCGCGAGGGCTGTACCGTGGCTGCTCCCGGCGGGGGCTGCTCCCGGCGGGTGCTCAGCCAGGGCTCCAAAATAAGTTAGAGCTGGCCGGGCGGGGCGGGGTGGGGGTGGGGGGTGGGGGCTGTACACACATTTGGGGGCGGGGCCTCAATACTGTCAAGGGCAAGGGCTGTAAACATGGCCGGGGGGCCCTGCCCACCCCTAGTGGTCTGTAACAACTGGACACAGAGCCGCCGAGCAGGGCCGGGCTCAGGCGTCCGACAGGCAGCTCTGGATCTGGTCCACCCACTGCTGGGCTGACGGCACGTCCTGGGCACAGAAGTTGTAAACACGACGCATCGTCTTCACCTGGGGACGCGGGACACTGACTCCACGGCCCCACGCGGGCTGCCCCCCCATCCCCCGGCGCCCCAGCCGCAGCTCACGTCAAAGAAGGCCTTCTCGTCCACGGTCTTGGGGGCACCCAGAGTGGGAGTGCCAGGCGCCACAGCCTCCACCTCCGCCAGGTCGATGAAGCCCTTGCACTCCGTGTCCACTCGGTGGTCGTAGTAGCGCAGCTAGCGGGGGCAGGAGGTCAGAGCAGGGCTCCCTCGACTCCCCACCCCAGCCAGCCCGCTGACCACCTCACCTGGTGCTTAGTCTTGTCCAGCACAAACCAGCGGGCCTTCCAGGGCTTCATGAAGGCCCCCTTCTTGTACAGGGTGCCCTCATAGGACCTGCGTTTGCAGAAGAACCGGCCAGAACAGCCATCAGGGCCCGGCAACGGCCCCGCGGC